TTCAAAGGGCGGATCATCTCCGCCCTTTTCCTGTTGTGCAGTGCATAAACCTGCTTGACTTCGAAATCGCCGAGGTCTAATCCCGCCAGTGGGCCACCCCTCCCCAACGAGGGGCCACTATCTGGAAGGATAGCCATTATGACGACTGACACGAAGCCGGACCTGCGTCCGGACAATCCCCGTTTTTCTTCTGGTCCCTGCGCCAAGCGTCCCGGTTGGACGCCTGAAGCGCTCGCTGACGCGGCCCTTGGCCGCTCGCACCGGGCCAAAATCGGCAAAGCCAAACTCAGCCAGGCCATCGAGCTGACACGCGAAGTTCTCGGCGTGCCGGATGATTACCGCATAGGTATCGTGCCCGCCTCCGACACCGGTGCAGTCGAGATGGCACTGTGGTCGATGCTCGGCGCCCGCGGCACCGACATGGTGGCCTGGGAAAGCTTTGGCGAAGGCTGGGTCACCGATGTGGTCAAGCAGCTCAAGCTGGATGACGTGCGCAAGATTACCGCGCCCTATGGCGAACTGCCGGATCTCTCCCAGATCGATTTTGATCGCGACGTGGTCTTCACCTGGAACGGCACCACTTCCGGTGTCCGGGTCCCGAACGCCGATTTCATTCCCGCCGACCGCGAAGGTCTGACCATCTGCGACGCCACCTCGGCAGCCTTTGCGCAGGATCTCGATTTCGCCAAGCTCGATGTGACCACCTTCTCCTGGCAGAAGGTGCTGGGCGGTGAGGGCGGCCATGGTGTGCTGATCCTCAGCCCCCGCGCTGTCGAACGGCTGGAAAGCTACGTTCCGGCCTGGCCATTGCCAAAAATCTTCCGCATGACCAAGGGCGGAAAGCTGATTGAGGGTATCTTCAAGGGCGAAACCATCAACACGCCGTCCATGCTTTGTGTCGAGGACTATCTCGATGCGCTCAATTGGGCTCAAGGCGTTGGTGGCCTCAAGGGTCTGATGGCTCGCGCCGATGCCAATGCTGACGTTCTGCATCGCTTCGTTGCAGAGAACGACTGGATCGCCAACCTCGCCAAGGTGGATGAGACACGCTCCAACACGTCCGTGTGCCTGGTGATTGCCGATCCGGACGTGGCAGCGCTTGCGCCAGACGCGCAGGCGGCATTTGCCAAGGCGATGGTCAGCCGTCTCGACAAGGAAGGCGTGGCGCTCGATATCGGCGCTTACCGCGATGCTCCTGCCGGTCTTCGGATCTGGTGCGGTGCCACGGTCGAGACCTCCGATCTCGAGGCTCTGACGCCGTGGCTTTCCTGGGCCTTTGCCCAGGAAAAGACCGCGCTCAGCCAGGCTGCCTGAGACTTGCCTGATGGCTGCACCGGGAGAAATCCGGTGCGGCCCGCCTGCTCACTTCCCATAATTTGATCTAAGCAATGGAGGCCATCATGGCACCTCGCGTACTCGTATCCGACGCCCTGTCGGAAACCGCCGTCCAGATTTTCCGCGATCGCGGCGTCGATGTCGATTTCATGCCGAAGCTCGGCAAGGACAAGGAAAAGCTGCTCGAAATCATCGGCCAATATGACGGCCTGGCGATCCGCTCGGCCACCAAGGCGACGGAAAAGGTGATCGCTGCCGCAACCAATCTCAAGGTGATCGGCCGCGCCGGCATCGGCGTTGACAATGTCGACATTCCGGCTGCTTCACGCCGCGGCATCATCGTCATGAACACGCCGTTCGGCAACTCGATCACCACCGCCGAACTGACAATGTCGACATTCCGGCTGCTTCACGCCGCGGCATCATCGTCATGAACACGCCGTTCGGCAACTCGATCACCACCGCCGAACACGCGATTGCGCTGATGTTTGCCGTCGCCCGCCAGCTGCCCGCGGCCGATGCCTCGACACAGGACGGCAAGTGGGAAAAGTCGAAGTTCATGGGTGTCGAGATCACCGGCAAGACGCTCGGCGTCATCGGCGCCGGCAATATCGGCGGCATCGTCTGCAAGAAGGCGATCGGACTTGGCATGCATGTCGCCGCCTATGACCCGTTCCTGTCGGCCGAGCGTGCCGAGGAAATGGGCGTGACCAAGGTCGAGCTCGACGAGTTGCTGGCCCGCGCCGATTTCATCACCCTGCACGTGCCGATGACCGACAAGACCCGCGGCATTCTGAATGCCGAGGCGCTGGCCAAGACCAAAAAGGGCGTCCGGATCATCAACTGCGCCCGTGGCGGCCTGGTCGACGAGGCCGCGCTCGCCGAAGCCATCAAGTCGGGCCATGTGGCTGGCGCGGGCTTTGACGTGTTCGAGGTCGAGCCTGCCACCGAAAGCCCGCTGTTCGGCCTGCCCAACGTCGTCTGCACCCCGCATCTGGGTGCTTCGACCACCGAAGCGCAGGAAAACGTGGCGCTGCAGGTGGCCGAGCAGATGTCTGATTACCTGGTCAAGGGCGCCGTCTCGAACGCTATCAACATGCCGTCGATTACCGCTGAAGAAGCGCCGATCCTCAAGCCCTTCATCCGGCTTGCGGACGTGCTCGGCTCATTCGCCGGTCAGGTCACCGAAAGCCCGATCAAGGAAATCGAGATCCTTTATGACGGCGTGAC